TATATATATATATATATATACATATATATGTTGTAATTTCTATTTACAAACTTGGTAATATTGTAAATTGATTATTTCTACAATCATCCCCTCTCTTTCGATTTTGAATTATTACAATTCGGAGAGAATATTTTTAGAACTATAAAAAGAACCACATGCAAGGTAATGATTACTTCTCTAGAAAATCTGAATAACTTTCTATTTATACTATAAATCCATTTTGAAAGTGCATTAATGCACATTGGCGTCATCTCGTCTACTGCCTTGTTTTTGGTAGATCATTTACATCGCAATTATAATTTTTTTCCACGAAAAACAACTTAGGGAAAACAAAATGGAAAACTTTTGTAATTAAGAAAAAATGAAATTATTTTTTGTTGACAAAATTCAAAAGCAAATGATATGATGTTTCAATACAGTTATTGAGAGACTGAAGAAAGTGATCAATACACAAGACCTATAAAAGAATTCTAACTAAACTGAGTAGAAAATTCTGTTGCACTTATTTTTCTTAGTTTATCTTAGGTAAGGAGAGATTTTATTTTCCTCTTTGTTTGAGAAATATTTGTCTTTTACAGGAAATTGAGCACATATTATTCTCTGCAATTGTAACAAAATATTTATATTTGTTCCTTAGGTTTCATTGATGTTACAATTACTATTTCTAATTATTTAAGTTAACAAGTACAAAAGTTGCATTAATAAACAGGTAAAAACCTAGGTCCATAACTGACAACATGACTAGAAATTTTTTTTCTAGCAAACAGATGTCTTCATTATTTAATTCAGAAGTGATTTTAATAACATTGAACGTGTTTTTATCTTTTACTTTTCCAAGGCCAGATATTTGAGACTATGCCATAACAATTCTCACAAGATTTACAATTATTTTATTTACATTGTAATGATTTACCAATTGGTTGATTGTTTGTTTGTTTTAGAATATTTAGATAAATGATTACATGTTACTGAACTCAGGCAAACAAATGCCAGCAGTTTCAAATTAAAACTTTCAATAGAATTATTTTATAAAAAGAATGTATTTATAATACCTTGCCTATTTACAAAACAGTCATATAGTAATCAAAATATTTCATACATAAGCAAATCTTACATATTCTTTTCTGTTGGCCATTTACATTCTTATAAAATATATGGTAGATAATATACATTTAAATTTTCTTTCGATATGTCTTTCATCCCAGAAACGTTTTCATAAAATTATTTTTTGTTACAGTTCAAGGATAACCTTCTGTTGTTAAATAGAGAAACACAATTTACATTATGCCATCAATTTCAGAATATCCCTATGAATCAAAAGCAAGTTAATAATATACTTTCCATAATCCTCATAAACAAAAATCATAAATAATATCAAAAAATCTGATGATATTTGCTATAATTTTTCTTTGATGAACACAAAAATGAGAAAACTCAATTGAAATTTCATCATTTTGTAAAAGATATCTTAATAATACATGTTTTTACTACATGAATCAAAATGTCTGTTACTATTCATCAACAATGGAAGTTGATAGTAATTAATCACCAGTGGTGGATCTAGGGGGGAAACATGGGGGCCTTGCCCCCCCCCCCCATTGGGGGCCATGTCCCCCTCTAAGGCTTAGAGTTTTTGTTTGTTACCTTCCTTTATTTGGCAAAATTAATTTACATATTTATTTATCTTAAAATTATGTAATTATTTAATCAATAATATTGTGTAGTATCATGTATACACTACAAAAATAATATACAATATAATAAATATGTTTACTATTTAATAAAAATCTGTGATGGCCCCCTCCAAAATGATGAGCTGGAACTGCCCCTGTAAATCACATCATATCCTACTTGCTAAGCTACAGACGTTTACAACTAGATCAACACTTATTTTCTGTTTTCAGGTACTTTGTTAAAGTGGATTTTATCTTCCACATTGTAATAGTCTCTCTTATCATAACCATACAAAATGCAGTTAAGAAATAGACGAACACACTCACTCTAGAACTGAGACATATCTATATCAGTATGATATGCAACATTCTACATGAAATAAAGTTTATACATTTAAGCATGCAAGTGCATCTCAGTTGTAATGGTGTGCAATCTAATAGAGTGGATAGTATTTTAACTGTCTGAATATCTTGCAAATTGCACTAACAAAACAAAACTCAAAATAATGAGACTACGACCTGCATTTCTAATATGATAGTACAAATATCACACAACGCAAAGAAGTTGAATCTTGATGCAAATTGCTCAAAATTACCAGTCCTGAATTAAAAACTTCCTAGAGGAATCAAGCAATTAACACATTTCTTTCCAATAACAGGAGAGAGAGTGAGAATATATACTATATAACGATCTTGTCATAAATGCTTGTTTTTTTAACAGACCAGTATTTGGCATCGATTTTTGCACTGGGATTTTCCTCATTTGGTGTCATTTTTCTTAGGTTCATCTTTCCTTATTGGATTAATAACTTTTAATAGAGCTACCATTGGTGCTTCAAAAGCAAGAGATACAACAAAGGCAACAATATAAGATGCCACCAGTTCTCCAAGGAAAAGCATAGCCTAAAAAACAAAAAGACTTATTACATTTGAAAGAGAATAGACCTTAATTAAAATAACAATGTTATTAAAAAAACTTACCACAGTTTCTTTGGTTAAATGTAATGGTGCATCTGATGTCATTGGAATTACTCTTATTATAATTGGGTGCACAAGGTAGGCACAATATGTTACTCGGCTGAATGGATATAGTATTGACATGGATAATAGTTTGTTAACATAACCTATGGGCAGAAGAAATTATTGAATGACCCATATATATAGTTCTCCTAATTGAATCAAATATGAAAAGCTAATTATTGCTGTTTGCAATTTAAATTATTGTTCTTATTTTGAATTTGATCTTGCAGTGGGTAAAAGTGGTAAATCTAGAGAATTATATTAAGAGGTTTGAAATATATATTATATAAATTAAGTGAAATACTTATTATCTTTGTATTTACTAATGTTATTAGTTTAGTGGGTAGTAATTATATATTAATATTCATTAACAGGGCAATTTCTGAGAGCTATATTTCACTTCACTACGAACCAGATATTGAATGTTCCAACGTCCAATTGGATACTCTGGAGTGAAACAACTGATAATGATCAATTACACATACATGATACTAAAAACGGTATATATACTACTGAATGAAGGAGGATGATAAATTAATATTATTTTCATTTTTCTCTCTTTATAGCACTCACCTTCAATAATGGTTTTGATTACTCTTAGAAGTGAAAAGAACACTCTACAAACCTCCATATCCAGTGCAGCAGGCAATGACAATCCATGATAATCCAAGTGCCCAAAGTGAGTGACTAAGAGATGAATAAATAGCTGCAATAATGGGATGGAGTTCTTGCTTAAAAAGTCCAAATATTAAATAAAAGAGAAGACTTATTGAGACAACCCATCCTGTTGCTGCCATGATCTAGAAACGAACAAGAAAATGTTTTGTTATAAAATATATAATCCAATTTTTCAAAGGGCTTAAACTTATTCTAACCTTTTATATTTGAAATTATTGAAATATTCTGTACATACCTTGTTCATCCTAATTGTGCAATTTTTCTTACACAAATACCATCCAACACACATTCCAATCAGATAAGGACCAAGGCGAGTCCAAGGTTTATCATAAATTTTATCAAACAAAGCAAAGGGATCATCCAGACTAGAAACAGGAAAATGTATTACAGTTAAGTAATGTATAATTAATAATCTTCTCCAATCTAGAATGTCCTGAGAAAAATGTACCTTGGCATGTGCTCGTTACTGAAAGCTACAAAAGCAGTAGTGCACCATGAACTTGCCAAAAATGTAGCTGTAATTGCAACAGCAAAGCGAAAGTGGCTGAAAAACAATCATTGAAGAACAAATTATAAAAGAAATTATTAAAGAATTATGGTAAAACTATGATGTAATAAATTATATTTACCTTGTTGCTAGAATTAACAAAATTGAGCCCAGTACATAAAATTGAGTGTCATCAGCAAGGTACCAGCTCCACAACATGCACTGTAGAAAATATTTACATTCAATATTTAAAAATGAAATGGATCATGAATTAAATAAAGAAATAAAAGAAGTCACCATCGTCAACTTAATAGAGTAATTATTAAGTTGACAAAGCTGACTTCTTTTATTTCTTCATGAAATTCTGTCAACAATACCACATCAGAACTCCCACAAATCATTAATTAAAATATTATTGAAAATATAAATAATAAGTAGTATTAAATAGTAATTGGGAAACAACAGAAAAATACAATTGTTATATTAATAATCATATTTGTATTTCCAGAATGACAGTTCTAACTCTAAATTTTGTTTGAAGATGTTTAAATAAATCCAAGATTTCACATTCTTTTTGATAAATGTTATATGCACTTTCTTACTTTGTAAATAATAATGATTTACAATTTAGAAGGGTAACAAAAATAAAAAAATCCAAATTGGTAATGAACAGAAAACTATCATTGATAAGAAAGAGACAAAAATTAAGAAAACAAAGGAGTGTTTTAATTTAAAATAATATTTATATTAATAAAGTACTTCTGAATGTTAAACTGTGGATTAGAAATGAATACAATTTTTTCCCCTTTGAATTGAAAATCTTTATTTCTTTTGAAACTTGGGGCCCCAATTAAGTTAGGGGTTGGGGCAAGTTAGCCATGCGGTCCCCCTCCCCCTTCTGATCCCCAGTATACATACACACATATACAACAATGAATACTACAAATTTTTTGTAAAAATATTATGCTTTGCCAACTTTTATATCTTGTTGTGTTTTGACAGAAGTTCCGAGTTATTTATAATGCAACTTTGTGCAACCCCCCCCAAAAGTTTTCAAGTGTTTAATTATTAATTGCTGTTCTGCATCTATACATTGTTAATTTGTGCATTTTTTAATGGAAATAATTGCTGCAGCAAAAATTATGAAAAATGTTGATGAAAAGGAGAAAAAGAAGTTTGTTGATTGAAATAAATTATTTTTTTAAATTATTTGATTCGTATCATAACCACCATAAAAATTGGCAACAAATTTTGTTATCAGATAATTGTTTTTACCATGTCTTGAACTGGGAACAGTGTGTTGATGTAAAGAGCATTCCTCCACCAATATTCTGGACAGTTGATATGATCAAGTGTTGGAGGCTCAAACACAGAATTGTGTTGGAACCACTTCATACAAATTTGAACGCAGCCCAAAACAAACATGTAAGGTACAGTCAATCTGAAACAGAACAGCCATTTATGAATTAATTTATTATAGATTTTTGCTAGTCAGTTTTTAAGCTATTTTTTAAATTTTAATTACATTGCAATAAAGAAGATTAATAATTAGGGTATATAATCTTTAAATAACATTTGAATACCACATTCATGAATTCCTGTATCTTGAAACATGCACTTCTCTACAGTAAAATGAAACAATACTTGACTTCATTGGAATGTTGCCAGCTTGTTAGCTGCCAAAGCTTAAAGCAACTCAACTTGCACAATTTTTTTTCCCAGTCCCTGCCAATATTGATGCAACTTACTCTTTGGAAAGTGTCCTCATTGTTTCTGTCAGTGTGCCATGCATACAAATATTCATTTCTGTAGATGATGTTATGACACACCACAATATCAATTTCTAATTATAAAATAAAATTGATAATTTTTTAAAATTTAATATTTTTAGTTTTATGTACATAAAAAAATGTCCTTTGAAAAATCACAGCATTACTATTACAATATAATGTTTAAATTATTTGATGTCAGTTCTCCAAAAATACTGTGTAGGTAGGTGTTACTTTCATTTTATATTGAATTTTAGTAGTACGATTATCTACATAGTTGAATACTGTGTAGATAACCAATTAAGAAAAAAAATATTTTTTTAACTTATAAAATCTCACCTGAGATAACGGTAACCTAAGAAACCTAAAAACTGCATAAATCCTGACTTGAAACCAGTTGTTTTTGTGACACTATTTATATCTACTTTCATCACAGTGCGAAAGTATAAAAATGATACCAACAAACCACTGAAACAGAAGAATTTAAAATGAATTAAAGTTGTGACAAAAATAATATTAATACTTCCTTTTCTTAAAAAAATACAAATAAAAACAGTGTTACCTGATAAAGAAAAAGGTATCTACAGAGTAGGGAGCATTGGTTATAATTTGAAAAATAAAATTATTTTCCATTATTTCTCGGTAAGTCATGTTGTCTGAAACAGTTAAAAACGAGCACTGACATTATATTTGGCACTGAAACGGGATATTATCTACAGAAAAGAATAACTATAATCACTAATAAAAAACAGAATACTGTCAGAATATATTATATTGTTTCACAACAAACCTGAGTACTTAAAAGCCACAATACAAGAGTGACCAAGAACCACCCATATCATGCTGAGGAAACGGAGACCATGTATTATAGGAATGGTATCACTTCCCACTCCACGATCACATATAGTTTTCAAATTAAGTCTTACCGAGAATGACAATATCATGCCTCGCAGCAATCCTAAATAAAAAATGGAATTGAAAATTTAGCTAGTTGCTTTTTACTCATCAACAAAAAGTTAATATGATTACTATTGACTTACTTGACATATCTAGGTGGAAGCTTTCCAGCAAAGGACAGTGCTTCTTCAGTTTTGATGGTGAATTATCAATGTGTACAGTTTTGACTATTATAACAAAAAAAAGTTAAATTGGTCTATTGCTCACGAGTGCATTAAAAAATGTAATGCAATACTTGAAGTTGATCTTACCAATGTTGTTATTACACAGCTGATCAAGAGTTTGAATAGTTGTTATTCTACCACTTTGTTGATTAATTTTACCATTAGAATTTCCAGTGTTACATTCAAAAGTATTGTTTTTTGCAAAATCTTCTTTCCTAAAATAATTTTCTTCATTATGACTATACAATACATACTCATAATTTACATTTTTACTCTTATGTCATGTTCATAATTTTATGCATTTGTTTACTTCCTTGAACTTATTTTATTGCATATTTTAAAAGATAATCAGAAAAATTTCAAGTTCTCACCTTTGTAGTAAGTAGAAATCATAAGCTGTCCCCAAAGCCAGCATTGAGAATATAAAGATAGAAACTCCTCTGTTAATGTAAATTCATATTAATTGAAATCTTTAAAAACATTGGAAAAAAAAAAAAATTAAGAAAATTAACAAAGTGTACATACACAAGTATCCAGAATACTGGGTCTTTCCAGAATAAGTAGGGATTGTGAGGTGAACGAATATTAATAAGTTCACCAAATTTTAATGTGCCATTATTCATAACAAGTTCTGTTAAGGTTTTTATATCATGATTACTGCAGACATCTGGCAAACATACTCCCAGGTGAACTACAGAAGGCTACAGAAGTACAATAATTAGCAATGGTGTGATGTAAATTATCAATGAGTAAAATATAATGTTAAAATCGACTTACGATGGTGGATAGATGATTAGGTAAGCGAGTTACAATTTTTAGCACACTAAATGCAGTTGAAAATGGAGCTTCACCCTCTGCTATGTAATCACATTGCATTTTTGAACCTGTCCAGTATGTATTGCCCCAGAAGAATCCTGTGTTGTGTCTGCCAGTAGAATCCCACACTGGAAATAAACAAAATATCAATGTTAATAACCATAATAAGCACTCTTATATTTCTTAAAATTAATAATATCTTTTGAGAAAATATGCATCCAAGGTTTACAAATGAATATTATATTGACAAAGGAAAATCAAAACAAACAATGATTAATATGTTGAAAGTGAAAGTATCATTATCATCATTATTTTCATCATTATCAACATCTTTATTATCACCTTTCCTCATGGTAGGCTTGTGGGATGATACAAATCTGAACATGACATGCAATTCTACGGAAAAAAACGGGAATTTTCAGCAGAAAAATTCGTACTGCTGGGTTCTGGTAATGAAAAAGGGGATACATCCAGTTACTCGAATTTGAAACCGATATTTTAATTTTGGGGGTACATTACACTATGCTATGGGTCATTTTAAAAATTTTCGAAAAAATTGTTCCAAATTTTTGGATCAAGTTTTGTTGTCGGATGGCGTAAAGACCGCTTAAGAGAATTAAGAGAATGGTGCAGGTCTTACTTCCATTAAAATTCCTGATTTTTCGAAAATGGCAAAAATTCCATTTTTTCCGGCGTCTTCCTACAACTATATTTATGAAGATATATTTACCCTTAAGAAAATGAACTCATCAAAAACAGATCTTTAAATAATGTCATATTTAATTTTTCGAAAATATAATTATTTTTTGCATAATTTTGCAAAATCCATTTGTGAAACATAGTCACCCGTTTAGAGTTTCCCGTGCTTGGTGAACTTAATTTAAGATGTGCTTGGAGGATATTTTGATAATCCCTTCCCATTGTTCAACTTCATATTAATTAACTTAATATTATAAATCGTAAAACATTAGGTTCGAAAACTTATACCTATATTAAGTAGCAATGCAACTTCATGCGTCGTAACAAATATTGTGACGAAGTACGCGTTTTCTTATTTACTTAAGGAGTGTAATATCAAAGTTATTAATTTTGAATATTTTTCGCTTTGCGCGTTTCATTAAAAGTTTAGAGACTATTCTAAATTTTATCCATCATGATTCATCTTGATGAATTGATATACGCGTGGTGTTGCTGACTTGCGGGTTGCTGACTGTCCCGATTCTTTAGAAACAGCGCGAACGTCAGCCTTCAGGTTAACTAAGGCCTGTTTTAATTACAATTTACTATTGGAAATCTGAATATTAATTCGATTTTCACTCTATTCTACAGTTCGTATTCACAACATATTCGTGAACTCTCTTTCAACTAATCCGCTAACCTTAATATTGAAATTAGCCAAATTAGATTTCTCTCGTAAAATTACGACTTAAATGTAATAAGAAAGAAAAATTTAAAAAAATGAGTATGATACAGTAACTTAAGAAGTACAGTAATCTGATATTAACTTTTTAGCTATCTGGTCACACTGGTTATCAAGTTCAATTTAACAATAGCAACGTTGTTGCAATTTAACAATAGGAATGTCACGATACGGCGTGAAATTCACAGAATAATTATTCATTATTGGGATAGTGTTTCTTGTGAAAGGAGATGGTAATTTCTATGTGGATTTAAATAGTATATTTAAATATTGTATTTCTAGTGTTAATTTATTTTCGTTTAGTTAGTCTTATTTATGGTAATTACTAAGTCGTAGTTATCTAATAAACGAAGACTAAATTTCTGTATTAATTTACTTCTTTGTTTTACAATTATAATTAGCAGTTGCAGTTAGAAATTAGAAGAGACTTATTAAGAAAATATTGGCCATGCGTACAAGTATCGCCATTGATGCAATAACATCACGCTGGCTACAACGGATTATAGCTGACACCATCGGGTCGCGTTATTAGTTTATAATATTTAAAGCTAAAATATTATTATTTAATTATCAAATTTGGGACAACACATTGTCTTTAAAACTATTGGTTTTCGCACCTATTGTTTTAGGTATGTATTGATGTATTGTTGAATTGTACGATTTGTAACGAATTTTACAATGATGACGTGTGTTAATATGAGCAGAAATTGCGTTATTTTAATATTACATATCCGTTCTATGTGCGAGAAAGTACGTAATGTTATACCTACTTTTTCGCATACTGCTTACGCAGTGTTAGAGAAAGCATTGAAATTCTGCGGGAAAAAGATTTTCCAACAGATAAAAGGTATTACTAAAAGTGGACAAATCTTGTTCTTGAATGTAGTGTGTTTCCTCTCACACGTTATACAGTCTGGATCCATGTTTTATGGGTAGGGCTAGCGCCTAAACCGTTCAGCCCACTTTCTCCACAATTGATATTCCCCAATCAATCAGAACGAACCCACTGCCCTGCGTGTTTGAAATGCATATTTTGTTTTTGTGAGTTCTTTACACGAAACCTCAATAAAAAATCTCGAACATGGCACCAACTTTTTGATTAAACTTTGTTTGGGGATAGCGTAAAGAACTCTTAAAAATGGCGTGGGTCTCATTTTCGTTGAAATTTCTGATTTTTTTAAAAAAATTATTCAATTTTGTCCATGTTTTCCTACAACTACAATATCGAAGATAAGATTTTTTTCTTATAAAATCAGTTGCTTAAAGACAGATGACAAAACAAGGTTACGTAACACTTTTCGAAACTGAGTCGTCTTTGAAATGTGGAATAAGCTCTTGTTCTATACGTGGGCTACTCTGCAACTTCAAAGCATTTTTGTGATGTCTAGAACCGGTTATATTCCTTGGACTTATTTCCTTAATAAAATAACCACTGGACTCGGCAAAGCTTCTCTATTGCAGTTTATTACACTCCACACGCTACTGGTCACTGTGATTGTTGCTGATGTTTTACGCTACGCTCTGTAAAAATTCTAATAAATAGACTTCGCGAGTACGGGTTTGTTCTGTGTCCTGAGCTTTGGACATGGTTGTCAAATAGCGTATTTGTTGAAATGTTCTCCCTCAAGCTTGGGCATGCGTTCTCTATGACTGTCCTGGAGAAATTTGATTTACTTGTCCGAGATAACGTTCCGATATTCCACAATTGCAGGATCAGAATATGCAGCGAAGGACGCGCTTAATACGCGCTTAATACTTAATTCACGGTGCGGAGGGTTGCAAAGAACTCCTGTTTGTGAACCGCAGCGCTCGGTCAGACGGATAGATGCTCAGGAGCCAGATCCTTTAGTCAGTCATATGAGTTTGTAGGCAGAGGTTCACGGAGTCAGTCGCCTCAATGTGAACGCTGACTTGTGCTACGCTGGCTGTCGGAACTTTTGCCTCGACATTTATCATGATGCCATAACGGTATCAATCAGTGCTATAGCGCCCATTTCGCAGCTGCCCATTTCGTCGTTAACTACGGCTGCATGCTGCCCATCAGCATATGGCTTACAGGCATATTTTCGTGTCACTCGCGCGTTCGCGGCGCGACTGCCAAATTAGATCACGGAGGCCTGGCCATCGTGTCCGGGGACTTGGAGCATTCGCTCAGACAGTGGTGTACTGTGTCGTGTGCATCTCATCCATTATGCAGCAAGACTCCAGTCCCGGCAACAATCAGATCGACTGCACCGCAGGTACCTGTTTCTGCCTCCGGGGAAGAGCCGAGCCAAGCGAGTCAGTTTGGTTTAAGTTCATCGCAAGCAATGCACTCTCATTAATTGAATTGAAATTGTATGTTCACCATTTAGAAATAAACTTTTGGTCATTTTTGATTATGCTAAACCATTTTATAGACTGTTTTTTATACATTTCTAATTAAGTTTTAGAATTAGTTTTCTTTTTATAACAACTCACCGCTCGGGCTCGGCAATTCATTATGTAAAAAATATATTAAGTGTTATAATTGTTTTGTTTTCTCCTTTCTTAGACCTTCATTTATTGTATTCCAGTAGGTATTATCACCGTCCTTCCAACTTTTGATACATTAAATTAAATATTAATCCAATTGATTCTCATTTTATATTCAGCCTATTCCTATCATTTCCTCTAACGAGGTGTCCTCCAACCCTTTACTTTAGTAGCCATCTGGCTACATTGTCGAGATACCGAAGGCCGATATGTATGTGTACTGTGTGTGCACATACACACAGTACATGTGTACTGTGTGTGTGTGTGTGTGTAGAGTGCACGCTGTTGGCTAATCATCATGCGAGGCGTCGTGTGACAGGTCCCATCCTTTATTTCTCTCTTTCTCTCCTCTCCCACTCTCACATTTTATTTTTCTCTTTCTCTCCTCTCCCACTCAGATTTTATTTTTCTCTTTCTCTCCTCTCCCACTTTCACATTTTATTTTTCTCTTTCTCTCCTCTCCCACTCTCACATTTTATTTTTCTCTTTCTCTTCTCTCCCACTCTCACATTTTATTTTTCTCTTTCTCTCCTCTCCCACTATCACATTTTATTTCTCTCTTTCTCTCCTCTCCCACTCTCACATTTTATTTCTCTCCCTCTCTCCTACTCCCATCCACTCTCTCTCTCTCTTTCTGTCTGTCTGTTTGTCTGTCTGTCTCTCTTACTCCTCACTCCCATATCTCATTTATCTTCTTCTTCTGTTCTGTAGAGTAAATAAAGCCATATCGCGTCACCTTGGGCTGCTTGTGCAAAACTCCTCGCCCGCGCCGTTAGGCCCTGCGGCGGCCCTGCGGCGGCCCTGCGGCAGCCCTGCGGCGATCAGTGCCGCCGTCGCTGCGTCCGCCGCGGCATGGGGCGCGGCGCGGCGCGGCATGGGGCGCGGCGCGAGGCGCTGCGTTCAGTTCAAAGCTGAGCCGAACGGAGCGGAGCCGCTCACCCATGGCTTTCTCGGATCTTGTTGGGCGCCACCGCCCCCGCGCGACTACGACCCAGGCGCGGAACAGGGCGAGGCGGGTCGGAAGACGGCGGCGGCGGCGGCAGCGGAGGAGGAGGAGGAGTAAAGGGATCAGTCGCAGGATACGAAGGGCCTGCGGTGGAGGCTAAGGAAGCAGAGGAGGTGCATAGGCAGACGATACTGCGGGGGCGGTGGAGGACGATTAGGTATATGAAACGGACGAGGCGGGCGGAGATACTACGTTGACGACAACGATGTCGGGGGCGGGTTATGTTTTGATGGTGGAAGCCAAGGGAGGGGGCGGAGCTTCTACGTGAACCTTATGACCCAGACACCGCGACCCGCTGGAGCCGCTTACGTAATGCAACTGGCATTTTCCGACCCTCTCCTTCCTGAGTCGTGTCGATGATACACGATGCATAATGCTGGCTCAGGCAGAAAGTGATGGGTGCAATTTCACGGAAACAAGCGTTGCCCTCTGCCAGAAACTCTACTGCTTTGAGGTGTGATATTACTGCAAATTCTTTAACCGTTTTTTTTAAGGTAAGCGACTCAACTCTTGTACTATTACCCACCACCAGCTGTGCAGCTGGTGTTGAAAATCCGCCCGCGTCAGGCCTCGAACTCTCCCAATCAACGGCGCTTCCGAGACAAAGGTGTTGCTGCAAATTATCCTCGATTTGAAAACTCTAATCGTCGTGGTTGCTGCTCTTCTTGTAATCTCGTCGTTTGGTCGTTTGAATTCAACACAACTGTTTGCATATTGTACGTTAACAAAACTTATACTGCGAATTCAAAATAATGTAGAAAACTTCGGCAAGACATGTAAAAGTTTTCTTCAATCCTAAACACAAAAGAAGAATGTGTTTCCAAAGAAAGCACACACACACACACACACATACACACACACACATACACACACTTCAAAAGGAAGGCAAGTATAACAAAGTTTTTACGAACTTCTGTGAATATTCTGTCATAAATTTTTCACCCGCAGCAAATATTTAGCTGACATAGCGCTTTGTATAAATCATATTGTGGTTATCCGAGTTAAAAATAAATTAATCAGTCTCAACCTTCACACTTCAGTAGAGGGGACCGTAGGCATAAAATGCAATTAAAATCCCAGAGAAAGAATTGTGAGAAATTCTCTTACACAAAGCGGGCTACATCGGAATGGAACAAATGCTTACGATTGTAGTTAATTTTAGTTACGAATATTGACTCGTATATCGATGATCATTTAAGCGTAGTATAATGCTGATGCTCTGTACGCATCAGACAGTTAAATCTTGGGCGCCTCCTTTTCGAAAAGTGGCCGTGGCGGCTGAGTGCCCACCGAGACGAATCGCCCAGCTAGCCCCTCATTGGCCAGCCGTGCCGATGTATCCTCCGATAAAGTAGAGGCACGCTGATAGAGTATTTCGTTACGACTAATTGTGCAAAAGTGGGATCATCTCGAGTTTTGCCTAGAAGCTAGTTTTCTTGTTCACACCCATTAGCTGTTCTGGTTCTTCCCCTCTCGGACACGGAACAGTATCACGCCCGTGCACCGTACGACGACCCGCCTTCCTTCTCTGCGTCGTCCCTCCCGGACCGTGGGCATCGATCCAGCGAGCGCTTCGGACTTACTTCAGAACTCTTGCTGCCTCCCCGAGCGTCTGTGGTCTCCGATCGTCCTTTGCATGTTCTCCTAGAGCAGGGCTGCTCGAGCAGAGCGAATCGGAAGCGCGGAGCAATGTTGTCTGCAGAGAGCACGAACCCGTTCCGCTGCTTGCGATAACTTCTGTCACAGTGTCCCGATAACTCCTGCCGCGGAAACATTGAAGTCGATGCCAGCACTTCGTAAATCGAGGCGCCCACATTGGCAATTTTCAATGCAGCATCTCTCAACTAAGTCAAACCTTAAATTGATTGTACTTATAACAGAATTAAACAGTAAATTAAGTTCATTATGTTACGCATTCCGAAGTCTTTCAAATTCTGTCAGCTCGTTGCATGTATTTTGCAAATGTGAATGCCCGCCTGAAATATGGCATAATATT